TTTGTCACCGTGATTGCTGATAGGGTGATGCTTTGTTAAACTATTTAGTTCGATGCAGCCAAACAGCAACACAAAACAAAATCATGAAAGCCAGAAAACCTCAAACTACATGTTGTACCTTGTTGTCTTTTAAGGTGTAGTGACACAAACTCTGCCTTTGTCCAAATCTTCTGGGGATTTCGGTTGCAATCTTCTCTGGATCAATCGCAGGGAAATGGGACAGGTCTTTCTGAATCTGGGCAATGGATTTGGGGCAGTTCATCTCCTGGAGCCAGGCGGCACTGTCTTCTAGAGGACAATCGCAATTCTCATGGTAAACTGGCCCTGTTTACACAGAACACAGTACAAGAGTGAACTCAGCCTCTGAAACAGGACAGAGATGCAATGTGAGGGCTCCCAACCCTTTGGGCAGTTAGGGAGGGAGGGCCTTTGGATTAAATGCGCATTTTAAAATAACACTCTTTTTATTACATTGAGTCATTATGAGTAGGTCAGCCTTGTATTTTAATAGCTCCTCACTAAGAAGTTGTGTGGTATTTCATGTTCAGGTCCAATTTACATGAGTTTAGATGAAGCCAGCCAGTACTACAGTGGACATTCTTCGTCATTACTGATGTACTTAAGAATCACTAAATATTGGTAAAAGACTGTAAGTGAGAGGACTGTCCCTGTTCACTGAACGTTATACAGATATTTCAATGTTTTATTACACAAACAGCTTAAGTGTTTAGGGTACTTTTCTCAAAGCCTAAGAACTCTGACTAATTTTTTTGTGTGTGAGTGGTGCTGGGGATTGAACCTAGGGCCTTTGCACTGAGCTACATCTCCAGCACCACACCTTTTGTTTTTTAATTTTTAGATAGAGTCTAAGCTGCTTAGGCTGGCCTTGAATTTGTGATCCTCCTGCCTCAGCCTCTCAAAGTGCTAGGATTACAGACACACACACTTTTGCCTGGCTTTATGTTTTTTTAAAATGCTTTGAAGAAGAAACATAAAGAAAAGGCAATCTTCAAAACAGTTTATTTCACTAATATTACAATGAATTTATATATTTATAGAAATAATTTTAACATAATATAGCTGAATCTGAATTGAGGGCTTTTTGTTTTGCTTTATTTTTCTTTTCATTTCTTTCTGAAACTCTCAGATTCTGACCTGGCCCAGGCAATAGCGGACAGGGCAATACTTTTTTAAGGTTTAGCAGATTCCCATGTGGTGCTGGTGGAATGCAGCTAGGAACCGAGACCCTTTAGAAAGGTTTACCTTTCTTGGGGTACCTCTGTTACATACACTGCTTCCCCCACTTTGGGATTCTGACTCCTCTGCCAGGAAAGAAGTTGGCTGTGAATAACTCTCTTCCTATATAATAAAGAAAACACCAGAGAACCCCCTGGAGAAACGGCATTGAAATGAGGACAGAAAACAGCTTTAAGCTTTGAGCTCTCTCCTGGAGGGATCTACCAAATTCCAGTAATGATCACATTTACTTAATTCTTATATTTCCAATTAAGAACATATCCTGTATGACTGTATACACACTCTTATTATTTTTGTTAATATTATGTCTTCAGGGATGGAATTCTCTAACAGTTACTTGCTTTTTAGTGAACTACAACTTCCTTTTGAAGCAGAGATTTCTGTCTTTTTTTTTAAACCAGAACTCCTAATTTAGCTTTCTAGGTAGGAAATAGCTAATTTTTTTTTACTATTTCAGTGGAGGGAAAATGCTGTTTTTGTTAATGCAATAACGTGTCATCAAATACTACTGCTGTAAAATTATATTCCAAATTACCTTTTAAAATATACGGAGATTTAGCCACGTGTTGACCTTGGAATTTAACTTCCACCTTCAGATTTTTGTAGCTTGCATACATCCTGTATCTGACTATGAAGGACCCATCCTTTCGGTCTAAAACCTGGACTCCAACTCGAGTGAACTGCTCATCCAGCGCTGAGATTTTAACCTGGAACGCTTTTTCACCTGGCGAGGATGTGAATCTGTGGCAGGAAAAGCAATGAGACAGAAAGATCATTTTAAGCAATAAGAACACAATGATTATGCCCTTTGGTCTGTAATCTTTACTATTCTCTCCCTTATTCTTCCTCTACTATATATTTGCTGCTTCTCTCTTAGTCTTTTAGTACCAGAATGAATAGAAGGATTAGAAATTAAAGGAAAAAAATAAACCAAGATGACAATGGTCAGGATAACACAGCACAATTTCATGTTAGACAATCACAAAGGGATCTGTATTAAGCATGGAGATATTTTTGCATTCCATTATAACAATATTCCCATTGGTCCACTAGGTACTTACTTTATGCTTATCACATCTAGAAATTTGCTTCCAAAATGGTGTTTGCAAAGATGACTTAATTTGGGAAAAGTTCTGTCTGTGATTTTTTTTTTTTTTTTTTTTGTCTTTTTCGTTTTTATCAGTACCAGGGATCGAACTCATGACTGCCTGCTTGCAAGGTAGGCGCTTATGCCGCTGAGCTAAATCCCCAGCCCCCTGTCTGTGATTTTTAAAAATATCAGTATTATACATCACAATGGCCACAGGCAAAAAGCAAAATAGACATAGTATCCTCTTAGTGGCAAAGGTGTTTTGGAGGTGTGGTCTTGCTGTTAAGATGGCATTTACTTTCCTCTATAAATTTTGTTTCCTTTTACAACCTGTCTTTGCCTTGGGCAACTTGTTACTCCCAATGTTGCCACCTGTTAAACATACTGGCCAGCACCCACCAATAATAAAGCCTATCGTTCAGAAACAGGTGAATTACTAAAGTCTCAAGTATAATTTTAATGCATTGAATTCGATGGAATGAAAAAAACTTTTGTAGCAGTCGCCTAGAAGATGCGTACTTTCATTTCTGTGGTTTTTGATTTTCAAAACCTACTAGCCGGCCTGAAAACCGAGGGGCACCTCAGGGGAAGATGCAGCCCATCAGGTCTCCAATAAGTGGAATTAAAAGCAGGGCAGAAACAGTATTTTCAGCAAAATGGAGGCACTTTGCTTTGTTCTGATAATGTGAGTCTTCCTAGCAAAATAGCCAAAAGACAAGCTCCTATCATATTGTATAATACAATAGTACTTAACGTATTGTATTATGTGTTATGATTCGGAATTATTTCTACAGAGCAAAATCAGGTCTGGGAAGGTTGTCAGAAACAGATGTAGATTGTGTCTGGGACCCCGGATGGGTAACTGCTGGGCACAGATCAGTTTTGGGGGCGGATCTAAGTTGAAGAAGAAACAACGTTTTTACCTGGGGCCCTATAACAGTTTAAACAGAAGACGCCCGGACTCACCTCCTCCCAGACGCGTCCACCGCCTGAATGTAGAAATAGCGGGCAGGGAGGACCACGTCTGCTTTCAGCCCGGGTCCCCATACTTCGCTCTTCTCCGGGCTCAGCTGCCCCTCTCCGCCGGTCTCGGCAAGTGCTGTAACGGTCCCCAGAAAAAAGCAGTAAAGCAGCAAAATGCTAAACATTTACAAGACAGACACTCGCGATGTCCCACAGATGAATGAAGACGCGTAAGAAGCGCGGCACGGTCACACGGCAGCTCGCAGGGCTTCCCGGAGAATCGCCCGCTATGCGGGGCGCGCGTGCACCTCTCCACCGGCTCGAGGTTACAGGGGTGTCGGCAAGCCTAAGCGAAGGATACCGCCAGGGCTCTACGGAAAGGGACAAGAAACCTCTTCCTCCAGACAATGATAGACTTATGTCACGCCAGCCACCCGAGCATCCTTTGCGGGCGAATCCGTCTCAGGCTCCAGCCAAGGTGCCAGGCAAGGGATTGGCCTATGCATCCGGCCAGGGTCAGTAAGACTTTCTCCAAGTGGACGGCCAAAGGAACATGCGTCCCCAGCCCCGGGCTGCCTGGGATTTGTAGTTCTCCACAGAATTAGCGGAAATCCTGCCAGCATTTTTTTTTTTTTTTTTTTTTAACCACCTCTTAGCCAGTCTTTACTTTTCGGTCACTGCTTTCGGGGAACAGATGCCCGAGAGAGGCACGCAAGGTCTGGAGACTCAGCTAAGATTTTACGACTTTTGTTTGTTTATTTTGTTTTTTGGTGGTAGTTGTGGGATCACCACATCCTTCGCACGTGCAAAGCGCGGCTGTACTGGGAAGGAAGAGAGAAGAGTGCAGTTGGTGATATCCGATGACCTATCGCCAGGCACCGCGGTCCACAGCGCTGTCCCCGCGCGCTCGAATGGGACAGTACGCCAGGGTAACGAGGGGCGCGTCGCGGGCGGCGCGCTGGAAGCAGTGACTACTGGGTTCCACCGCGGCCACAGCGACCTGAACCGGCTGGACAGGCCTAAGGTACAACAGAGCAGAGGACAGGGGCCGAGGTGACCGCCAGCTGTGCTTCCTGCGCGCCCGGCTCTCCGCAGAGACTGCGGGGGGCCACGCGCGCCTTCTGTGCTCCTCCACCCCCGCTGCGCCGCTAGGGGTCCTGATCTCTCGGGAGTCCTGTCGCGTCCCAGTGGAGGTGACGGTTCCACCAGAGAAGCAAGGTGAAGAGTTGGGTTGCCAGGGATATAAGGGATCAGTTCTCTGGAAGACAAAGCTTGGTTTCCAGGTGCTCCAGTGGATCTCGGCCCTATCCTGGCGCGCGTCTTCTCGCCAGGCTCCGCAAGGCCGTTCCCTCCCCCTGCACGCTGGCACCGGGACCCTGCGGTCCCGGGAGCGTTGCGAGAGTCCAGGACTTGGAGCCTCACCATGTGTCCTCCCCTCCCTTATGCCAGGGGCCCCGAAAGCCCGGACGGCCGGGTGACTTGGTGCACCCAAGGAGGCCTGGCCGGCGCCAAGGCAGAGGGGTTCTGTTTATATATTTCACCATTGTCTTTAATGCCATCCACGTGTTCATCGGAAGCCCGAATGGGGCCCTCCCCTCTCCGCCGGGGACAATAACTGCGCGCGTCGCACCCTGCAAGGCACCTCGGCACTGGTGCGTCCCAGTTCCTAGACAGGATCCAGGCTTCCCCTCGCGGCGCACCCCGTCGGCGGGCCCCGAAGCGAGGGAGGAGAGAAGGAGGGCGGGGAGGCCTGGCTGTTTGTGGCCACTCCTGGGATCCAGGACGCCCGGCCCGGAGGCCGCCGGGAGGGCGGTGGGCAGGGGGCGCAGCCGCGCCTCTCGGCACCGCCGCTCCCGTATACTTGTGCTCCTCGCGGCTGGGGCCCGGCCTGCGCCACGGTCTGCTTCGCCGCGCGGCCTCGGAGGCCGCCTGGGCCGCGACTCACGCAGGAGGCTGTGGGACGCCCGGGCCTCCCCCGGAGCCTGCGCGCCAGGCGGGCGCCGAGCGCGGGAGGATCCCCGGTATCCTTTCCAAGGCCTATGCGCTGGGAAGGGAGGCGCGGGGCGGATGCTGAGACCCGGGACCTGGAGGGCGCGGGGAGGGCGCTGGGTGGAGAGCTGGAGAAGAGGCTGGAGATCAGTGCTTCTGATCTCGCCCTCAGACACACATTCAGTGCTTAGTATGTCACCTAACTGACCCCGTGAGACAAAACGCAGAGAGTAATATTCGTCCTATGTGGAAGGCTTTACTGAGACTTAAAAAATTATGATCAGTTCCCAAATAAACCTAATACTTAAGAATACAGACTTAAAATATAACCTGAAACGACTATCATCTAGGCGATGCGTTCTATAAATGGTGTTTATTTTAGGGACCAGTGCGTTGCAGTGATTTTCACAAATCATTCATTCCTCTGTCGGGGCACGAAAAGTTTGGCGTTTCGTAAAATTATGCTTCGCACACAACAAAACAGTACTTCTGTTGCCTTTGACATAATGTGGATAAACGATTAAGTTGAGCCATCAGTTTTATTAGTAAGTCTCACTCTAGCAACTCCTACTAGCTGGGATGAAGGAATGACAGTCAGGTAAAGCGAAGGCTTGTGATAATGTCTGGCGGGGTGCAGGCTGAACCAGACTTCTGCAACAGCATCCTAGGGCCTCAGAGCGCAGTCTCCAGGGAAATCAGATTTGCAGGAGGCAAATATATAAACACACAGCATAGGTAGCATCGCACCCTGTAAGACCTGTGCAAGTCAGCAGAGTATGCACAAGTGACCGGGACTTCCTTTGTAAAGCTAAGAAACCTTCCCTAAAAAGTGGGGGTTAAAAGATGAATGGGCCAAAATTAATGAAAGGGGACCACTGTGCTGGGGAACAGGATTCAGAAAACCTAAAAGCAGTCTGGCTGGAGCGCTGGTAAGGTACAAGTGGAAGGAGGCAGAGAAGTTGGTCTTTTGTTCGTTCCAAGGGCAGAGGGTTTGAAGTGGGGAAGTGCTATGTTCATCTCTGTGTAGCAAGCAGTTTTCTAGTATGTGGAGGTCAGATTAGAAATGTGAGCACGTAGGGGCGGGTGGTGTCGGACTGAGAATGCTTTGTACTTACACAGTCAGAAGGAGACAGATGCAGTGACTAGGAATGACAACTGCCGGCTGAGGGTAGATCGGATGATCTTCCTAAGCCTCCGAATTTCCTGAGGCTTTAATTGCATCATGAATCCAGTAATGAGTGTCTGTAGTGACTCTGGTGTCAGAAATAAATTGTCCCTAGGTCACATTGAGAAAGCTAGGACCTCAGCAAAGTACCCAGGACAGACACACTAGGAGAAGCTCCTCTGGCTCTGTACTCACTGGAGAGAGAGACAGTAGACATGAAGCAGATGCACTAGGAAAGAAAAGAAACGCTCTTTGAGTCATGGGGTCATGGGTTTTGCATACTTTTCATTTTCTGTGGAATATCATTTGGTACATTGCAGTTTTTCTAGAATATATTTTATTTATATAATAAAATAGAAAAACATTACATAGGTTTTCGAAGAGAAATGCTCATAAATAGTGGTTCAGATAAACTTTTGATACCTTTGGTTTTGAGTGAGAATCCATGTAAAGCAAATCTTTATGTTGATGATCATCTTTTTGTTTTTGTAAGACCAATGTGATCATTCTTGTCCAGTGACCATGTTTAATAGTAAACAAACCCCCGGACATTAAAAAAAAAAGAAAGAAAGAAAGGACACTACACTTTTTGAAAAAAAAAGTTTTGTCTTCTTGAGACAGGATTTCACTATGCAGTTTCAGCCTGGATTTGAACTCACTTTATAGCCCAGGCTGGCTTTGAATTTACAGCAGTCTTCCTGCCTCAGCCTCAAGAGTGCTGGGATTATTAGTATGTGCCACAACACCTGGTGACCACTGCACTCTTTACTAAGTGAAATTTTCTTTGTTGGCTTTAGCTTCCAAGAGGCTCAGTCCTAACTTTTGGGCTCAAATTAAGACATTTCCTTTTGCCTGTGTTTTAGATGAGAATAGTCTCTAAGTGTCCCCAGTGAGCACACTTCCTAAAGACTTCAAAGAGCCATAGAAAAGAGCTGGTCCCAGAGGCAATATTTTGCCCCTTTCCTCAAATTCCATGAAAGGTAGTTGGGTTTTCACTAGGATCTCCTCTGAGATTAGGATCAAGAAAATCCAGGGCCCCTGCCTGAGTCATCTCTCATTCCCTAGTGTTTTAGAGGCTTCTGTGTGAGGTTTTCGAATGATGGTTTTGATAGAATCATTTTCTGGAACCTAGGGAAGTGATTTGCATTTCTAGTTTTTAAAGTAAGCAAGTGGGGAGAGATATTAACTGTTAAAAGACAAACTGATTCCCATAGTGGACTGAATCTCTTCTGTGCTACTTTGTCGCTAGAGCCCTGAAAACTGTCATACCCTGCCAGACCCCTGGAAAGGCTCCCCCCATGTTACCTGTGACAGTGTGACCCATCAAGAAGCTCTTATCTTCATAAATCTCCAGCTTCTCTGGACGCTCACAGGTGTTACTGACTCCGTGGCTGTTTTCTTCCCTGAGGAATCAGTTTAGATTTGAGATTCACTTTTTCCTGCAGTCTATCAAAAATTAGTGATATCTGGATTCGATCCTTTTTTTGTTGTTGTTGGTGGTGGAATCAGGTTAAGAATAGTTTTAAAATGAAATCCATGTTGGTTGTTGATTTGAATCGATAACTGATCATCACAGATCTTTTATGCCTGTATACTTTTTAAATAACCTTGACAATACACTGTTGCTAGACAACTTTATTGCTATAATTCACATGTCATAAATTTACCTCTTGAAGTGTAGACTTTAGTGGCTTCTAGTATATTTACAAAGCCTTTCATTCACCACCACAACTGGTAATAGAATATCTTCATTATTCCAGAAAGCAGCCCTGCCGTGCTAGCTCTGGCATTAGGTAACACTCATCTGTGTTTTGTCGCTGGATTTGCCTGTTCTGGACTCTATTTAAATGGAATCACAAAGTGTCTAGTGCTGTGGTTGGCTTCTTTTACTTAGTTTAGTGTTTTTAAAGTTCATTCGGGTTGTACCTGGGATTCCTCTTCTCCTTAGTATCAACTAAGATTCCAAGGTGTGGACATCCCAGGCTTATCCCTTCATCAGCTGATCAGCATTTACGTTGCTTCTTCATTTTGGCTGTGACGAACAGTGCTGCTGTGTATGCGGGTAGACATATGTTTTCATTTCTCTGGAGTATGTAGGTAGGAGTGAAATTGCTAGACCATATGGTAATGCTGTTAAGATGTCCAAAGAACTGTGTTCTAAATCGATTGAACCGTTTTGGTTTTCTCCTAGCAGTGAATGAAGGTTCTAACTTCTCCACTTTCTCGTCGACACTGGGTATTATCTGTCTTTTTGATTACAGCCCGCTTAGTCGTTGAAGCAGTTGTTTCACTGTGGGTTTGATGTGCATTTCCTTGATGGCTAATGATGCCAGGCACCTTTTCAGGAGCTCATTGGCCATTTCTGTACCAACCTTGGAGAAGCAACTATTTGGAACTTTGCCCAATTTTTAATTGGATTATTTGTAATTTTTTGGTTTAATATTTTATTTTAAGCTAATTTGAAAGGTAGGTGGTTAGTGATTATAACTTGGGATACAAAGTTATAAAATAAATGTGCATTGAATGAAGAAAACATACGATTAATTTTAGGGCCTGTTGTAATATCGAGTGGATTGTTGATCATTTGTTTTTCTCCTTCTTTTCTCAGGGTCTCATTTTGCACTTCTCAGGTTTTTATAGAATGTTGTAAACAGTTGTCCAAGTCGTTCTCCAAGACGCAGAACCGGTGTGGCTTCTTCCTAGTAAGGGAAACTTTTACAGTTGTGTTCAATGCCTAACGTTGCAGAAACCGAAAGGTCCAGTGGTCCTGGAAATGCTGAGCACAGAGCAGAGAGGAAGTCTCCAGAAGAGAATCTACCAGGTGCTGTAGAGTCTTTCTGCACAAGTGCCTCGGGCACACCCTTGGGCCCCAAAGGAGGTGGCCATTACCCCTGGAGCTGTCCAGTGACTCACACTAGGGAAAAAATTTATGCCATCTGTTCAGACTATGCCTTCCTTAACCAGGCAACCTCCATCTACAAAATTCCCAACCCCGCCCGCTCCTCTTGCCTTCCTGACAGCACCTCATTGTCTGCTGGAAATAATTCGTCAAGGTACCTGGGTATCTCCTCTAGTGCATCGGAGATAATCTACAATGAAGAAAACAGCTTGGAAAACTTATCCAACAGCCTGGGCAAGCTACCTCTCGCGTGGGAAATTGATAAATCTGAATTTGACGGAGTGACCACAAATTCAAAACACAAGTCAGGTAAGAAAGAATCGCTGAAGTTCACATGGGAAAACAATGAGGGAGCAAACACATTTCTTAAAGTCTTGCCGTTAGAGGTATTTTCCTAGTAAAATACGGAATGGGAGGCATTGTTATCATCTTGCTTGTCATTGTGGTTGCAAGAAAGTAACCTTGGTCACAGGACATTTGGTTCATTAGTGTGGAACCTTTGGAGACTTCAGGCTTCACCTTTAAATTTACAGAGAGCTTGGGAATCAGAGCGTTGTATTATGTAAATATTATAATAACACTGTGCTTCCACAGTTTTGCAGAAATATAAAGTCATATTCTGTAAACTAGAACATAACTAGTTTTCTTTTTACCCTATAGTAACACTGTAGCTTTTTTGTATGGTTAAAATTTTTGGAACACTCCTCAAAGCCCATAGATATCACCGCATAGGTCATGTACTGCAGAGCTTTTGCTGTTCGTTTGTTGAGACGGGGTTTTTCTATGCAGCCCAGGCCGGCCTTGAACTCACTGTGATCCTCCTGTCTCAGCCTCCTGAGTGCTGGGATTACAGATGTGCACCATGATTTCACTGCGGTTTTGAAAGATCCTATCACGTAGGTCACAGTGCACAACCTTAACCATTGCATGGGGTGGTCCAGTGATAGACACCAATGCTTTTCATGTCTGTTGCTGGAACTCACAGTAATGCAGGCATTTTTTGAGGTAGAGACACTCTGGATGTTGGTGAAGAAAGGGGATAATTTTCATCCAAGTTGTACAACTACTAGAGGTAGAATTGAGATTTGTATTTTACCTGAAGCTTCTTTGATGATTTTGTAAAAACCTTCATACATTTGTCTCTTTATTTGCAAAATGAATTTGTTTCATCAGCTGTTATTTTATCATTCTCAGGGGCATGAAAGAATTTCACTTCATGTCAAAACTTATCGGTAATGAGTCTTTCATTTTCTTTTTCTCATAATGTGTCTTTTTAGGATTTAGAATTAAGGCTGTACAGGTCTCCTAAGACAAGTTGGAAAGTGTTTTCCTTTTTTCTGAGGGCTTGCAGAGGAATGTAACAATCTCTGTAATTAAGGTGTTGTCTTCATTACTGTTGACCTATGACAAATTTTAGTTTGTCTGTTTCATTGCAGTTGGCAAACTTGGCATATAAATGCTGGACTCTAAGGACTACAGTATCTTTAATAATCAATCCTCTTTCATTTCTATTAATGGTAATTTCCTTGCTTGTTTTTCCTTTTTGCTGACCATTGAAGCGAGGAGCTCACTGGTATTACTTGTCTTTTCAAATATCCAGCTTTTCATTTTGCTAATTTTTTCACTTGCTTGTTTTTTATTTCATTGATTGCTGCTCTGATTATTTCTTTTGATTCCCTTGTTTCTTCTTTTTGAATTCACTTGCATCACTGATTGAGACATTCCCACCATTAGCTAAAGACTATTCACTGTGTTAGCCTCAGCCCAAAACTTCTGATGCCCTTGTTTTTATTATTTAATTTGATATATTTGTACATTTTTGTGTAATTTCTTCTTTGATATATGAGTTAGTTGGATTATATGCTTCTTAATTTCTAGATATTTGGGTTATTTTTTCTAAGTATTGACTTCTAATCTAATTTCTTGATGGACAGGGAACATAGGAGCTCAGTCTTTTAAAATGTCCTGAAGCTTGTTTTATTACCGAGCCACACATATGTGGAAACAGTGTGCATTCTGTAGCAACTGGGTGCATCTGTAATTAGTAGTTAGGTCTAAATGTTTGAGTGTGTTGATGACCTTGTCTGGGCTTCTATTTAACTTTTGTCTTACTCTGTCCATTGCTGAGAGGGGGTGGTAAGAGTCTCCAGTTATAACTGTGAAATCATCTTTTCACTGTTTAATTCCATCTTTAAAAAAAAGCTGATAGAACTGTGGGGGAGGACCAGCGGCGGCTGAAAAGATAAGAAATATGAAATATAAATGACCTTTATTTTGGGAATTCAGGGAGAGACCCCCCCGACCCCCCGGGGTGCAGCATCTCTACCCCACGTTTGGTGATCTCTCTGTGGAACACGTGGAGTGAGGCACATAGGTAGCCTTGGTTTGGGGTGGAACCTAAGGGGGGCATTAGGGATGCACAGGTAGCCCATTGGTCCTAGGTTTGGCGCCATAGGTAAATTCCTAGGAGAGGGAAGATGGTGCAACAGGTAAATTCCTAGGGGTGGGGGAGATAGGGGCTTCCTGGTTCCAGTTGAGGCTTTTCCTGGCTACAGTGTCCCGTCTGGGCCAAAACCCTTTTAATAGCGAATTTAAAAAACTTTGGCAAAAGGCACATGATATAAAATGTACCATTACAGCCATTTTTTAGTTCAGGGACGTTGAGTGTGTTTGCATTGTTGTACAACTATTACCACCAACTGTCTCCAGACCTGTCCATCCTACAAAGCTGAAATTCTGTCCCTAATGAACAATAATTCCTATTCCCTCATCATCCAACTCCTGACAACCACCATTCCACTCTTTATTTCTGTGACTTTGACTACTCTGGGTTTCTCATATAAACAGAATCATACAGTATTGGTCTTTTTGTGATTGGCTTATTTATAGTCAGGCCTGTACTCTTTGGTTACCGTTTACTTGGAATATCTGCAGTCTTGCTCATGTCTCTAGATCCAAAATGATTGCCTTATAGAAAGCAAATAGGTCCTTAAAAAAATTCTACAAATCTGTTTTTTGGTTGGAGAGTTCACCCACTTATATTTAAAATTATTGTTATTGTTATTATTTTGGTACTGGGGATCGAACTCATGACCTCATGCTTGCTATGCGGGTGCTTATGCCACTGAGCTAAATCCCTAGCCTAAAATTATTTTTAATAAGGAACGGCTGCTGCCATGTTGCTGTTTGTTTTCTGTTTGCCTTATAGCTTTCATTTTAGCGTTTTCTGCACTATTGGCTTTTTTTGTATGTAGTTTTTTTTATAGTGAAATGTTTTAATTCTTTTCTCATTTGTTTGTATGTATATATTTTATAATTATTTCCTTTGTGGTTTCCATGAAGATTAAATTGAACACTGTAACATTATAATACTCCAGTTTGAATTTATCATACCACCTTAACTGCAATAATATATAAAGCTCTGTTCTCATAGAGCTTTATTCTCACCCTTTTTCACTTATTGATGTTGTAGTGTGACATCTTTGTACATTATGTGTCCAAAACATAAATTAACAATTTGATGCATTATGCTTTTAAAGAATATAGAAAAAGGTGAAGGTACCAACTAAAGTTATAATACTGACTTTTAAATTAGAAATAGGTTTTAAAAAAAGGGTTAGTCTCTAAATCATGCAGAATGCAAAAAGTAGAGCAACAAGCCAAAGTTATAATACCAGCTTTTATAATTGCCTGGGTTCCTACTTCCACTGAGATCTTCATTCCTTTACATGATTTGGGTAACCACCAGGCATGCTTCCATTTCAGCCTGTTTGTGATTGGCCTGCTGTACGGACCCTATTTAGCATATCCCCTATTTAGCATATCCGGCAGGGTAGGCCGAGTGGCAATTAAATCCCCAGTTCGTATTAGGGGGTGTTTTCATTTTGCTCTCACTTGTGTAGGACAGAGTTACTAAACATAAGAGTCTTAGGAGCTGCTTTCCTCAAGCTATTTTATTTTATTTTATTTTATTTTATTTTATTTTATTTATTTTATTTTATTTTATTTTATTTTTGGTACTAAGAGTCAAACTGAGGGCCTTGAACTTGCCAGGCAGGCACTGTGCCACTCAGCTGCACCCCTGGCCCTCCCCTGGCTATTTTAAAGATTCTCTTTGTGCTTTAATGTTTTCCTAGTTATATTATGAATTGTCTTAGTGTGGGTCTCTAAGCTCGTCCTGCCTGTGTTAAGCCTCTTGGAAGTCTATATTCATATCTTTCATCGGGCTTAGAAACTTTTCAGCCATGATTTATCATTATTTATTTTAGGTATGTTCTTTACCCCTTTCTTTCTGTCTTCTCTGGAGCTCCCACAATGCATAGGCTGGTCCGCTTGGTGGACCCAGGTCCCTTATGATCTGTGAGCTTTTGTTCAATATTTCTTTGTTTCTGCTCTTCAGGCTCAGAAATTTCAATTGTTCTATCATTCTTTCCATCTGTGTGCTCAAATCTGACATAGACTCCCTCTAGTGAATTCTTCATTTCAGTTATTTTAATTTTGAGCTTAAAAAATTATTTTTCATATCTTTTTAGGTTTTCTGTCTCTTCATTGTTATTTCCAAATCATCCATACAACCATCTTTCTTTAATTCTTTGAACATTTTTAAGATAGTGCTTTTAAAATCATTGTCTAGCAAATCTGTCTTTTGCTGTTTTTCAGAGATGGTTCTTGGTGAGTGTTTTTCTTTATATGCCTTGTGATTTTTTCTTTTTTAAGAAACTGGACTTACATAAGTAACCTTATGATATAGTAACTCTGGAAATTGACTCACCTATTCGCCAGGGTTTGATGTTTGTTTTTGTCCTTCAATTGCTGTAGGCTGAGTCTGTGCTGTGATTAACCTGCTATGTAAACCTAAGGGATTCTGAGTGTTTTTTTAATACCTGCATCTTTCCTTGCCTACATGCAAAAAGGTGCTAACATCCTAAATCTTCTGGAAATTGCTGTTTATAAAGGAGGAAGGGATTGAAACTGTGGGTTGAGGAGTGAAGAAATAGCTGCCCCCACCCTGTGTCTGTGTTTCCAGCATCAGAAGCAACAGTAGTAATTGAGATGGAGGTCCCTAGTGCTGCAAACAAACAAACAAATATTATTTGAACTTGTGAGGTACACACATATTTATGCGTTTTTTGTCCTCTTCAAGAATCAGCCCCTTATATCATTATAAAATGTTTCATTATCACTGGCAATATTTCTAGTGCTGGAAGCTATTTTGTTTATTGATATGGTGATTCAAACTGTCTTTTGATGAGTGCTTGTGTGCTGTGTCTTTTTCATTTGTGTGTTTGATTTCTAGTGTTTACATTTCTTTATTGCTTCTTTATCACCTGAAACGATTTGCTATCTTTTCATTTATAAAAGAGCATTTTATCTATCTCATAGTGCATAGTTATAACATCTACTTTAAAATTATAATCTGCAGATGTCAGAATCTGGGTCATACTAGAGTTGGCCTTACCTTTTTTTTTGTTGATAATTGTGTTTTTCCAGCTTCCTCACGTGTTCTATAACTTTCCCGTCTTCCCTAGATGGTGGGACTGTTACGTCCACTCTGGTATACTCAAAAAGTGCTGTGTTGTGTTTGTTTGTTTGTTTGGGGAAGCAGTTGATTTTGGTAGACCCAAATTGTAAGTTCTGTCTCTTGGAACAGCTTCCACTCTTTTAACCTTAGCTGCGCAGCTGGACCTCTGTTCTGTGCATGGTTCAGTAGTCAACCAAGCTTTGGCCCTAATTTATGCACAGTGCTTGGGCCTTTCTTTCTTCCTGACTGTCTTTTCCCTGAGCTTCTCTGTCTCACTTTTGATTGATTACCCAGAACTCTGTCTCATTGTTCAAGGAAAAATGATGGCAGATTTTCTTTCTTTCTTTTCTTTTCTTTTTTTTTTTTTTTTTTTTTGTCTTTTTGAGATAGGGTCTCTCTACACAGTTCAGGCTGGCCGTGAGCTCACTTTGTAGCCCAGGCTGGGCTCGAACTCGAAATGATCCTCCTGCCTCAGCTTCCTGAGTGCTGGGATTACAGGCGTGAGCTACCACGCCCAGCTTAGATTTTCTTTTATTTGTCCTCATTCCTTTCTCTAAACACCAGTATAGTGCATGTGTGTGTGTCTGTACATGACTGTATTTTGGGCTGCGGGTACATGGGCACGTTGTTGGTAGCAGTGAGGAGTAAAAGGGAAAAAGCGCTTTTAAAAAGGGAGCAAAAGGCAGAGATGACTGAAATGGATGTGATGAACGGATGTGATGAGCAGAGTGTTCAGGTTGCTTTTCGTATTCCCACTTTAGCTTCCACTTCAACAGTTTCCTTCTGTCCCATTCAATGAAGTTTTGCCCATCGGACTGATCTGTTTGTGGCCAGATGCGGATTGTATGAAATGGGCCCATTTTGAAAGTATGTGCTGGCCTATTCTGGGGGGATTGCTGGAGTGAGCCAGTAGGGCCCAGAGGGCAGGCCAGGTCATCCTTGGGGAAAAGTACGAGGACCCACTGCTCTGGCCTGTGAGCTCACATATCTCCGTAATTCACTGGTCTTAAAACTGCAAGTGGCAGGCAAAACTACTCTGGAAATAAGTCCTTATGAGGCCGTAAAATCATGGAAAGTCAGTTTCTGTTCTCCAGCTAAGATTCCTTGCACCAGTGAAGGAAATTCAGCATGATGAGCTTCATTACAAGTGGTTGTTCAGTTCTGTGCGGAGATTCTCACAGCCACCTCCTGATGGCTCAGGAAGGATAATTCAAAGGAAAATTCTTCCTTGATTGTATGGTCTTTGTTAATCTAGCACTGTACAGATATTCCCGGTGCAGCGAGGGCTCCTGGGTTTCCACTGGCTTTGGGGTGACACGACTTGGGGCTCTTTGGATGAATAAAAGATGCCTTGCCATGTTTGTATACGAGGCACGTACATATATAATTTACATTTTATAATTTATGAACACATCAAAAATTGAAAGTTAGTCTTCATTTAATTTGATGATTTCATATAAATAGATATATGTGAAAGCTATTAAAATATATGAGTGTAGCTGTCTGAAATATTAATAGCATTTTAACAAAATGAGGTTTAGGTGCTTTTTAATTAACACTTTAACTTACATAGTTTTTTTGACTGCATAACCCATTGGCATGGTTCAGAAATGAAAACTGAGCAGGGTAAATGTTCACTCTCGCTTTTGCCTGCTTTCCTCCCTGCCCCAGCCCTTCCCTGCCCCAGTACGTAACGGCTGTTGGTTGTCTCCTGTGTCTTTCAGAAGGGATGTGTGGGTGTGTGCATGTGTGCCCCTATAACCTGCGTGTGCATGTGTGTGCATCCACACACATGGAAGCGAGACTTGATTTCCATTCTGGCTCCTTGGACCAGCATCTCATTTTAATAATGCACGTGTGTGTGTTGGTCTTAATCCACTTTGTGCTCTCTGAAGGCCTGGAGATATTTTTAAGTACCACATCATCCCGTTAATGGATCCAGTGTTTTTTTTTTTTTTTTTTTTTTAAATAGGATTGCATTCATGTGGTTTTATTGTCCTTTAGAAAGGGTTCATTTTCTAGAACGTGGTCTAGTTTAATATTTTACTGTTGATTTGCTTTTATAGATGTGGCTGAAGATTTTTGTGATTGAGTCTTTTACCAGCTAAATGATTAGCTGTGGAAGTTGAATATAAGTGGACGATGGGAAATAACATTCATGGGTTTAAATTGTTTTTATTCTTTCTCGCTTTGTCTTTAAGGCAGGGAGCTATTCTTGAAAATACATGTACAGTACGCAATACACTTGCAAATATTTATAGAAGTAATGGGAATTACTTTTTAACTTTGGAAGATAATTTTATCTTAGTGGTTAACTACATCTGAAGCAAAATGCTCATTTTGCTTATTGTATTCCTTTTGTGTCCTAGGCAATGCAAAGAAACAAGTTTCCAAGAAAAAAACATCAGATAAGAAGGGAAGGCATCAGAGAGAGTGCCCCCAGCATTCTCCCCTGGAAGATATTAAACAGCGGAAAGTATTAGACCTCAGACGATGGTAAGGCTGTGTTGCTAGCTTTTTCAGTTTTTAAAATGTATGTTTTGGCAATAGTTCTGCTGTTTATAAATTAATAAGTTATATGTAGGATAACTATTTTTAGCATTAAGAATGTTTTTTGGATTTATAAATATTCAGTATACTGCACCGTGTGACATAGTTTCCCAAATTTGCTGGGCTGTTGTAGGTGTCTACTGTGCTGTTCCACCCGATGGTTATCTAGATTTAATGGCAGTTACCTATTGATTTAATTACATCCCTAGTTTTTTTTTTGCTGAAGCATTTTCAAATCTATAATGACATTTATCATATTTCAGATCAAATTACCTAAGTATGGATCCTTGAAACATGACTTAATTGCAAACTGATGTCATACCTAGTAAAACCAGCACTGTTTCCTTGTGTAATTTCTGGGCTAAGTTCACATTTCTCAGAGATTTTTCTGGAAATGTCTTTAGCCCTGCTTGTTCAAAGTGGGGGCCAATAATGAATCACATGTGTGTTTGCTTGTGACCCATTCTAATCTTTTTTTTAAATTGTAGGCGATAGCCTGATTTCTTTATGTACTTATTTATTTGTTTTAATTCACAAAAATAGTAGAGACTGACATTGAAGGGGCTTGGACAAATATCTTGAATATATCTTACCTTCTGAATTTGTTTTCTTTTCCCTTTAGTGGTTTGAATTATCACGAAACTTCATTATTTCCTGTAAGCTAGAAGTCAGGTATAAAGACTTGATTAGATTCCAGTTAAATGGTTTAGTTAAGAACAGTTCTGAAAGTGATCCCACACACTTATATTGCCATAGATGGTCTGATGATCCGACATTGGGGATTCTAAGAGTGATTTCTGGATTAAGGTGGCAGCAGCTGAATTTCACACTGAGTAGTTGTTTCTTTCTCATCTGCCACTGCTAAGTGAGGAGACAGAGTAGCACCAGGTAATCTCCAGTTCCCCTCCATTTTCTGTTTTATAGTTTCAGCCAAAGTCATTGACAATGCACGCTTAAATCTGTGTTGAAAAATGAATATATTTAAAAGTTCTATTGTTCTTCCTACTTCTACTACCTAGCTTTCTAGTAAGAAGAGCTTTTGCTTATTAATGGAAACTATTTGGTTACTTTACAACACAGTTTTTATTTTAAAGAAAAAATATTTCATTCATGATATTAAATGTACTTAACTATTTAAAACTATAAGGCCATAAAGGCTTTATGAGGCCATCAAACTACAAATAGGAGAGATTTGGGGCAAATGCTTTGAGGGTAAAATCACCAGGACTTCTGTTCCGTGGAACGTATTATAAGGGTAGGGTTGGAGTGCAAGACTCACAGAAGATAGTAGTGTTGTTGGTGAAAGTTTTAAGCTGCTGCACTGACATCATATTAACTTGAATCTGACTGCAGAGACTCTCCTTCCAAATAAGGCCCCTTTCACTAGTCCCAGGAATTGGGCATAACATTTTAGGAGACACAGTTCAACCCAGAATAATGACTATGTTATATTAAATTGGCCGTTATTATTTTTGGTATCACAGTGTCTCAATGATCCTTGTGCAGCTTATACATTCAAAGGTTATTGCTGATTTGTATATGCATCAATATATTATATGCACAGATATATACCTGTACATGCCTGTATGCTCATACAATTCTTTCTTTCTTTTTTTTTTTTGCAAATAATTTTTCAAGTAAGGCTCAAATTGTGCTTGGTGATAACAGAACTTCTGTTTTTAATTTTGGCCCCTCATTAATGCCTTCATTAGGAACAGGTCATTTGAAAATTAACCTGTTTTATTCCTTAAAATTGAATACTGAAGTCTGCAGCCTTCGACATTTCTCTTAAAACACGACCACTGTGTTTGGAACACCGTCTGGCCCCCATAGTGCCATGGAAGGATGTTTGTGTCTTGCTGTTAAAGTCCTCTGTGACATTTCTGCCTGTTGGCTTTTTGCCCAGGGCTTTCTCTGAACTCAGCGCATGATAAATGGATGTTTTTTAGTGTGAGTTGAAAAAAATCCTTCTTAAACCTTAGTATGTGGAGACAAGGGTTTGCTTTGTTTTGCCATTATTTCAGAAGTCACAGATATTCACGTCTGCAGCTCAACTTGGCATTTGGACTGAAATTTTAGTAGTTGATGTTATTAATGTTTTCCATGGCTTTGGATAACGTCATTTTAGTAGTTAGCTATTCTTATTGAAATAAGCAATTTATGATTATTATGATTTTAAGTGTTTAATAAATTTAAGAGTATTTAAAATGAAAAAGATTTTACATTGCTTGAAGCAATCAAAGTTTTCACTATATTGACACTTAGATCATGGTTTCTCAATTTTCATTTGAGTGAAGAAAACAGTCTTATTTTCCAGGTACTGCATAAGCCGACCACAGTATAAGACTTCTTGTGGCATCTCTTCATTAATTTCTTGTTGGAATTTTTTATACAGCACAATGGGAGCTGGAAGGTAAGTATGTCAATGTACTAGTCTCCCTAAACTCCAAATTGAAAGTAGTTTAATGTTGCTTTTTCTATAAGGGCAGATTTTGAGAATATATTTTTCCCAAATTAAGAGAAACATCTGCACTTTGTTGTAAGCCTGGTAGCTTAAAATATATGCATGTATTCTTTTCAATAACATAAAAAGAAAAATATTACTGAAATGGTTTGCCAGTCAGATAGGTTTATTAATATTGAGACAGTTTTGCATGTGATTGGAATTGTAAAATAAAAGGCAATGTTTCTCTTATAGCCTTCCACCTATTACCCAAGAAGAGGCTTTACATATTTTGGGCTTTCAACCCCCATTCGAAGATATTAGATTTGGCCCTTTCACTGGAAATACCACACTCATGAGGTATGAAGCTGCCACTCCGTGCCTTCAGTAGGTAGCAATGCCTTATTTCTAGTTCAGCTGTAGGTGGGCTGGTCGTACACTGCGTATGTGGATGCTGGCCCTCAATCTTTCATAGATACACCAAACTAATACCATGTCTGGATTTCTCCAGAATGGAAGTAATGACCTTCATTGTTGTAGAACTCTTGCTATGAGCAAACTTTTTTTTGTTATTTTCAGATGGTTTAGACAAATTAATGACCATTTCCATGTAAAAGGATGCTCTTATGTTCTATATAAGCCCCATGGGAAGAATAAAACAGCTGGAGAAACTGGTAGGTGAATATATAGAAGATTTATATAAATGCATGTGCATGGGCTTGTTAAAATCTGTCTCAAAGACTGGCTATTTTTTTTTTTAATTTTATTTTGAAAGTATACAACAGAACAGGACAGAATAAAGCCAACTAAGATCGTACAGTGAAATTGGTACAGAACTTCACAGCAGGTTACCGGGATAACAGTAATAGGTATCACAGTATATTTTGTTATCTTTATAATAGTTGTTCTTTCAATCACATATATCAAAATGAGATGAAATGTAGAACACTATAGAACTTATCAAAACAGAACATTGAATAGAGCAGTACCATTAATCAGAAAAGAGCAAAACAGTAATAAAAATATTTGCCTTCAAAAAGATGGTAGAAGGAAGTCCTCCTTATTTGCTATGGTCAACCTCCCAGGAGATGCTCAGATTTCTGGTTCCCATTTGATAATGGGGGGACAGAAGAAGGAGGGTAGGGGAAGTGGGATATTTGACTCTAGGCCGTGCATCAGTAGGTTCACTATCGCTTAGCACGGAGGCAGGCTGGTTGTTTGGCATCCTAAGCATCCTAAGTTCCAACGTGGCGTGGATATCAGGAGCTGCTGCTGGTTTTCCCCCTCACGACTGGCTATTTTGACTCATGGAATTATGTAAACCACCAACAGTGTCTGCTCTCTCATATCTCTTTAACCAAGATGTAATCTCTAGGTTACTTCTCAATATCTAGTTTAATATTTTTTATCTTTTCTGATATCTATATGTAGAAGTTTTAGAACTTTAAATCGTTTTATACGTTTTAGAACTTTAAATCATATTATAAGCCCTTCTTTAACACACTGTATTATTTGGGCCCAGGTTTTCTAGTGTGTGTGTGTGTGTGTGTGTGTGTGTGTGTGTTGTAGTGAGGGTTTGCAAGGGAAACACTTTAATACAGGACACATAATTTATAGTATTATTTTATAATAGTCACCCAAAGAATCAGATAAAAAAGCAGTGCATGAAAAGACCCAAAGAATCCAATTGAGGGTCTGGATCCCATGACAGTGTCCTGCATGAGTCCAGCTGAAGATGTAGAGCCCATGACAGTGCCCCCATTGAGTCCAAAAGGAGGCTTAGAGCCCATTTCATGTCTGGTACCAAACTCTGTCTTGGTTACTTTTCTCTCATTGCTACAACAAAATACCCAACACCTCAAGTTAAAGGAGGAAAGCTTTATTTAGCTCACAGTTCGTGGAGGTTTCAGTCCATACTTGACTGGTTCCAAGTCAGAGTGGCATGTGACAGAAGCAAAAATTCATGGCAGCAGAAGACAGAAAAAGAAGAACAAAAGGGGAGTAGCATGGAGAAAAGACTCTTTCTGTCCCTTATATTGTATGTAGGTCACACCCAACCTAGAGTGAGTGTAGCACTTACACTCATAATCCCAACATTGGACCATGAATTAATCACAAATTCAGGAAGCCTGCCTCTATGACTGTATGAGAATTTGGGGGGAAATCTAAACACAAACCATAACAGTGTGCTAGTAAAATCATTCAAAAATAGCATAGAATTTGCTGTTCTGTTTCCTAAAAGGGAAAGAAAGGAAAATACGTGTTGCTACACCTGTATGATATCATAAAATAGGAGAATAGAAAGTAATAAAGTTCTATTGTATAATGGTCTTGGTTATAAAAGAATATTGATGGAGTTGATTTTAAAGACTTAGTTATATACTAATTTATCTTATTTGTATTATTTAACAGTTTCCATTTTAAATTGTTACAATCATCCTTTCACTGAATTTTTTGATAGCACCTCTATTATCAAAGAAAAAATTGCCCTAATGCTTCTTGGAACAGAAAGATGACTTTACTCAATATTTTTGCAATAGGGCATTGTAATAGGGATGAGAGATCTGACTCAACTCCAAGGCAGCTGGGGATTTACAGTCAAGGACGAGGAGGATGTGAGGGAGATTTGTCACCTCAGTGATCACCAGGGTTGATCCAGCTGATCTGACTGGCAAGGCGGGTGTCCCTTTCCCTCCCAAAGCTGCGTGCTCACTTAAAGAGGATGACGACCCCCAATAGAGGAGGAACTTCTCTTCCCTCAAGGGTATATGAGTAGCTGTGCTCCTCTGTGAGACCTCTGCACAAGATCTCAAGGAAAAGAGGGACGGGGTCAGTAGATGTGAAATTGCTAAGAGAGGACATCACAGGTAGGGAAATTCTCACCAAAATGGCATAACTGTCTTTCTGCTTTAGGCAGGACACAGGCTTAGACATCAAGGGTGGGTGTGTGTGCGTGTATGGCAGATGTGTTGGGGGCTTAATTAACTCACAGGAATGAAAGCCTCACTTGAAATGGACTCAGTAGGATTCTTACTAAAACGAGATGCAGAAGCCTAAGGTTGAGGCCTTTTTGAGAAGAGGGCTCAAAGTTTGGTCAAGGAGAGAGTTACCAAAAGAGGATATATAGTTTACCAAGGTCAAGGTCAGGACATAGAGAAAGATGGCTTTCTGTTGACCTATATTACCTATATCTAGTAGCTTTATGACAGTAGCAAACTTGGAGAGTCTATGTTGTTTTTATACATACAGTACTAGTTTTGTGTCCTTGAGCATGTTGCTTACTGAGTTCCTGTGAAAACCATTTTTCTTTCTGTATTTGCACCAACTGTATTGGACACTGATGATATAAAAGGAGACAAGTTTGTAATACACTTAGCGCCTTGTGTTAGATGCAATAAGTGGAAGCTTTTTATTCTTTCTGAATTCTGTTTGGAATTCTATGATGGTATTTTGAAATCTATGTTGGTATTTTTTCTATATTTAGGAAAATCATTAGCACACCTAGGATATGGCAATGAAAAACTTTTTTAAAAGGTATATTTTCCAGATTGCTAATTTTTTCTTCATCTGTATCTGGTTTGCTTTTTATACTCTTCATTAAGTTTGAGATTAAAAAATTGTTTCAGTCATATGTTTTCATTTAAAAATATTTATTTTTCTGGTGATTTAAAAATAGGTGCAGAGTAGAGGCTGGAATTGACTTGTGGTTGGGAATTTGCCAGCCCTGGACCTAGTTCAGAAAGCCCAAGGACCTCAGAATGGTGCTTAAGGGGTTGGTACTGACCAACACCTTCCTGGTGGCCCACGGTGGGCTGCTCTCTCTCACCCTTTTCGTCACAAAGTACAGGTCATTTTTAGGACTTAAGAGTCCTGCTTACAGACTGGCCTGCTGCATGACCAAATGTATGGAATGTGGAAGTGTTCTCAGTCATTGGTCTTACTTGGAAGTGTTCTCAGTCATTGGTCTTAAATGGGAGGGAGTCTTTTTCTTCTCTTCACCAGGCAGGATTAAATCCTTCCGTTCCCATTGTTTTCACCTTCATGTGTGCATCTAGTAGAACAGCATTTCCTTGTCCGTGGCTCTTGGCTCCTCCTCCGTACCAATGGTTTCTTCTAGGAAAACCTGAGATGCCTCCCTTGAGGCTCCAAGCCCAGTTTATTATTTTTGCATCATAATACATGGTACCTAGGTTCTCTCTCTCGCTCTCTCTTTTTTTTTTTTTTTGTCTTTTTCTTTTTTTTATTCTTTTATCGGTACCAGGAAGCGAACTCACGACTGCCTGCTCGCAAGGCAGGCGCTTATGCCGCTGAGCTAAATCCCCAGCCCTGGTACTTAGGTTCTCATTAGGAGTTAATTTAATGAATCCTGGCTTGACTAAATGAGGCAGGAGGAATTCAGGAAATTGGGGTTAGGAAACTTATAAAAGAGAATTTTGTTTTCTCCATCCAAAAAGCCAGCATTTGTTCTTTGGAGGTGCTCTTTGACCTAATATGGAAAAGGACAGTGTTACATTTTCCTCTCTCTTTAGCTTACCTCCTCTTCTGGCTCCTTCCTGTTCTCTCCTCCCACACTCCCAAACATATAGTGAGCCACACCTGCCTGCTAGCCCTGCTTTCATCAGAATATGTGGCATCCTCCTGCTGTCTCTGGGAACCTCTTCCTTGGTGGCTTTTCAGATTCTTGATGTGATGTTTTGCTAAAGGCTAAGACTTACATTTTGCAATGCCTTGAACATTGCCTTCTATGTTAAGGGTGTTCAGTACAAGGTGAAAACTGTTTCAGAATCACTTCTTGACTGCTTGATGGAGTGGGGAAAAATGTATGTCTAGGAGAACAGAAACAGTGGAGTGGTTGTTGATAGAACTGTGGGGGAGGCGGTGGCTGTAAAGATAAGCAGTATGAAATGTAAATGACCTTTATTTTAAGAATGCGAGGCGAGACACCCTCCCCCACTCCCCGATATCCTGGGGCACAGCATCTCCCCCCGGGTCAGTGATCTCTCCGTAGAACACGTGGAGTGGAGGCATATATGTAGCTTAGGTTTGGGGTGGAGTCTGAGGGGGCATTAGGGATGCACAGGTAGCCCATTGATATTCTTTTGGTGCCAGAGGTAAATTCCTAGGGGAGGGGGGAGATGGAGCTCCTTGCTTCTGCCTGAGGCTTTACCAGCTACAGTGTCCTGTCTGGGCCAAAACTCTTTCATATCCCATCTTATGATTATTGTTATGAAAAGGGATGAAGATTTCTTTCTTTACTGCTTCCTGCTGGAAGGGGGCACTGTAATGGGGTCTGTGGGAGTTTACAGGATGACAGTTGATGCCCATGTAGGAGCTGGTGCCAGGTGGTTTAGCCAGGACAACTTCACTGGTGAATGCACGTATGTTAGACTGGAAAAACAAAGAGACAAGATGTTATGAGGAGGCATGGCACTGTCATATTTAAGGACCCAGGTGAGGTATAAGGAAAGGTGCTTTTGATTTTGATATGTCATTATATCAGGACCATGTTGAGGTAGAATTATTGCCATGGTAAGATAGAATTCTGAAAAATAAACGTGGGGTTAGGAGGAGTGAAGTTATGAGAGGTGATTACTCCCCCATCTGAAAGGGTAAAAGTTAAGAGGGTAGGTAGGTAAGCCTTGTCTCTGGTATGCATGATGTTGGAGTCTTTAGG